CATTTGAAGAATCCCTTCTTACAGTCTTTGATGTCCCTAGCCAGACTTAATTCCAAATGGGTCTTAGCCTTCCTCGTTTGCATCCCTGCATACTCTGACGATATTCCTATATTCCTCCCAAGCGGCGAGAACTTCAGGACTGAGTTCACCCAGTCTACAAATGAGAAGAGGTATAGCCTCCTTTGCACATAAATCTTTGTAACATCTTGTTTCTGCTAAGAATCCCACAATACATAGCACCTAAAAGGAAACAGTCAAGGAAATTGTGGCAGCACCTCCTTTGAGCATTCATTTAACAGTCTGAAAATTCTTAAAGCATACAAACATCTTTAAAAACAGCAAAAAGTCTCAGTAATAATAATAAAAAAGTTATACAGACCTTGCCATAAGGAGTATCAACGTATTTTTCTGTTCTTCCTTCTAAGATATCTGGATCATCCAGGCCAGTTCCACCAATAATTCCGATCTTATATAGAAAAATATGTATTAGTCTTCTTGAGATTACACTCCATTTAACAGCATATCTGAAAAACTAACTAGGCAGCTACAAAATACATTTTCTGCTTGAGACGAGGCTAGGCTACAGATCAACAAAACACAATATGCTCAGCAGATTCCCAGAAATTAGATCTCAAATGACTGATTTTAAACTGTATTTAACTTGCCAATTTCTTACACTATGATTCTCCTCTTTAAAGATACCCAATTAAAAAAGCTACAAAAATGCACAAAGATGTGCCAATTCATCATTTACTCCCAATACAAAAATGAAAGGTGTTATTTGGGAATGCCTCTAATAAGTGAGAAACACCTGTATAAAGCCCATCCTAACAAAGACCTCTTTTTACTTGGGGAAAACCAGTCCTATACATAACCGCCATACTGAATACCAGGAATTACTATATAGTATTATACATACAAAATAATTAAAACCTTTATTTCAAAACCCTAGGCTTTTGTGTTGACTTGCCAAGATCTAAGACCTTCCCCACTTCTGCAAGTAGTCTCTGTACAGCTTCTGAAAAGGGAGATACCTCACAGCATCTTCACAAGTGAGGTAAAGAATCTGCTGACAATTTCACCTGCTGGAAGTATTGCTGGGTTTCTTCACATATTTATGACTAGATTATCTGGTACCTAAGGTGGTATAAGCGCTCATTCAAAAGTTGCCTGCAGCTGGGCCACTATTATCTCCCGTGTAGACTGGCGTCAGGTTTTATTCAACCCACATTTCCCTAAGTAGAAACTTAACAGGCTCTTGCTTCTCCTACTTTTTTTTTTTTTAATAAAGCCTTTTCAAGTACTTTTTCCCCAAATTTTTATAAAATTGACTAAGTTTCAAATTATAATGGAAAGGGAAAAAGAGAGGGTAAAGCAAAGGGCCACTTAAATAAAAGATATTTTATTTCCTTAGGAAATGAGGCTAAAAGTCCTATGTTGTGTTTTGATACAACTCGTAGTGAAGAAGCGTGAAGCCACTCATAATTACCACCTATCTGTCACGCTTTAATAATCATTGATTTCTTGCTCATTGTTCATCTGCTCTGCTTCTTTTGTAAAAGGAAAGAAAAAAGATAATTTGAAACATACATTCTCACTGAGACTAAACATACTTGTGATTTCATACTCCAGCTACAGAAAAATGTATCTGAATTTTCTTGTTTCTAGTTTATCATTGGAAAGTACCTTGCTTTTGTCTTTCTAGGGATGACTCCATTTTCAATCAAGCTAGGTTTTCTTTTAAGTTCAGAACACCTCCAGCTCTTTGGATGGAATGGGTACTGTCGGGCCCTTCACAACCTCACACTTAGTAATGGTATTTAAAAATAACGTTGCCATTTATCACACACAGAGAAAATGCTACCACTTTGTTTTTCTCCAATGTGACCAGTTGTTGCAAAGTTTGTTGCACTTTTAAATTGAAGAATTTGTACCATGGCTGAGCTGCTTGTCATGGAAAAAAAAAATTTTGAACCATTCTGGGACTAGGTACTACTGCATGGCTCCACCATTTTTTAATTATTTTTAAAGACATAAAATTTCCCAGGTAGAACCTTCAGACCTCAGTGTACAACACCCCCATTCCACAACACACCCTCAACTGTCTCCAGCTTTTTCTTAACTTACACATTCATAGAGACCTCATTTGTTCAACCACTATATTAGCTGACTCGTCAATCGTTTAGTTTCAACAAGCAGAGGCTCTGTGGTCTTCGTTACACATTGAATACTTCTCTGAAAAAGCTTTCCACACCAAACGGTGTAAATGCTGATACGCTGAAGTACTCCTAACAGATCTCCTATTTCCTTTTGCTACCCCCCTGTGGAGCACGAGGAGTAGTGCAAAGGAAGATAGCAGTAAAAATTCACAAGCTCCAACCCTGAATATACTCAAGTGTTAGGAAAGACCTAGATCATTGTTTGCAGTAGTATTGATGGGTCTGTTCCCATGTAACTCATGTTGCTTATTTATCACAAACATTGAGATTGTTAGATTGCTCATGAAAATTCTGAAAACTATATAAATTTTAGGATTAATAATTTTTTGCCTTAAGAATCATGTAAGAAGTGTGCAACAGAACCAATCATGAAACTCAAAATCAACAAAAGACCACCTTTAACATTGATCATGTGTGCATTCAGTAAACATGGAATATCAGTACATTAGCAGAAGCCAGGATCAAAATACTGCCTTTTTTTAAATCTAGGAAAAAAAAAAAAAAGGTTCCTTCAGTAGCTTAACTAGTTTTAATTTGGTATAATGCTTGTTTTATTAGTGACCTATGACTTAAGATTGAGAATATTCAAAAGGGAAGGTCTATCTGCCTGAAAATTTATGTCTGGCGAAGTGAAAGTTGTTGGGACTGAGGAAAACAGTGCAACGCTGGAGATATCAAAATAACATAAAAGTTATTTCAGAACTGCAATGATTTAAGGTGCTTACATACACGCAGACTCAGCACTGTAACAGA